GTGTATTTTTCAGCTGTGAATCTTCAGAAAGTCCTGATGAAACCAACCAACCTGATCGCATCTTTTGAGGTCCTGGGTGGCAACGTGACAGCTATCTTTAGCTGGGATATATCTATGACTTCATCCCACCAGCAGCTAACTGGTTACCAGGTTACCTGGGCAGAAGTCATCTCAACTAACCGCAACTACAATGTCAAGCTGCCTCGCACCTTGATCTCCCAGTCCCAGATCCTACCGCCGGTCAGTGAATGACTTTACTAAACTATACAATGTGGAAAATTCAATCTGAAAAGTGATGTTTTTAAAATGTATTGCTTAGTATGGGAAAATCCACCTTATTGCAGAACATCAAAGCCCTGAGCATGACGGAGAGATGCTCCAGTGTGCCTCGACTGCTGGTTATATGTGCAAATGTACAAATAAAGAACCACGATGAGCGTCTAAGGTTTTAACCTGTAAAAGTGTCAACTTGACTCAGCTCATACTGGGCCTAAAGGTCGTCACCAGTCTTTGAGAGATGCATAACTATATCTGTCTCACTATTAAACCAGTAAAAGAGAAAAGGCACAGTGAAGGGAACTCATCACTGCTGGAACTGAAACAGGAAAAGTCACCCTTCCCTTTGCTTACAGTCGCCCTCTTGTCCGTCACCACGTCAGACGAAGAACTACAGAGCTCTGCTTCATCGGTTTGCCTCCAGGCGATCCAAGAAACCCAAACACTCTCAACGTCATGGCGACGCTTCAAAGAGACCAAATGCCGAATACTCTCAGTTATGAAGTAACTCTGGCCACTCGCCACCTCTGTGAAATTCAACAAGATCACCCACCAGCAAAGCTCACAGCTCCACTCACGTTGCTCTGAAACAGGCCCACAGACCGGGCAAGTTAGTCGAAAAGCCGACAGACTCCGAAGCCATGCCATTCCAGCGCTTCCGAAAGGTCTCCCAAATATCCTTCCATTACGGATTCAAACTGGACCATGGCCTGGTTTCAGCTGCTTCTACCACCAGCATTCGAAGCTAACTTTTGTAACCTCACACATCTAAATGTCTGTCCAAAGTCAAAACTGTACCTCCAACAGCAAAAGCTACTGTAGCTCCTCCCACCCATCAGTGCCAGGTAGCAGGGGCAAGCTCAGTTCTGTGCGCCTGCCTCCATTTGTCTGTGTTAGACAAGGATGCCAGCTTTGATGTTTTCTATGCCTCCTTCAGGAGCAAGTAAAGAAGTTTGTCACTGGGATGCCAGGTTCTTCTCTATCCGTCATTTGCAAAAACCAGTAGGCTTTTCTGCCACCAGTTCTCTGCATCTATCCATCATTTGCAAAAAAAAAAAGAGGGGGCACTGGTTTGCCAGTTTCCCTTCTCTCTATCCTGCAAATGCAGCAGCAGTTCTTTCTACCACTGTTGCTTGTTTTTCCGCATTGATCCTTCATATAGCAGCAGTGAACCCTTCAGCAGTGAACTGGGATGCCAGATTCTTTCTCTATCCCTCAGTCGCAGAATGCAGCAACAAGCTTCTCTGCATCTATCATTGCAAAAAGCCGCAGGAAACCCTTCTGGAGATCAGCTCTGTGCATCTTTCTATCGTTTCCAGAAAACAA